ATCGGCAGGTGGTGGTGGTGCTGGTGGTGGTGGTGGTGGTGGTGGTCCGTCTTGAGGTCCGAGGCTTGATTTTGCAACCCAGCAGTGCAGAAACAGCAACTCGCAACACGACCCTCGCAGCTACAGCTTTCCTTGATCCCGACAAGCAGCGCGAAAGTCACCAGCTTTGTTGACGGTCGCTGAAGCGGCCCTGTGCAGACACGTGCAGTGTTGGGTTCGAAGCAGCCATGTCCGTGAGTTACCACGGGGCGGAGACTGAGATTGATGGAGGCATGTTGGCACACGCGGAACTGATTTGAGAGGTCCTTCGAAGTCCTCTTTACATGACCAATATGACAAATCTTGTGGGAAAGGGGGTAAGCATGCCAGCCCGCCCGAATTGAAGCACAAGCACAGAAAACTTGAAGGCTTGTGCAATAGTCGAGCTTTCGTCGAGTCCAGGTCGAACGGGTGACGGGGACCTAAGATATACAGTACTTCGAAGATCTGATCCAGGAAAGCCAATGACCGATCTCCGAATCTTACCTCAGAGAAGCAGGGACAAACGGAAGTGAATCCAACCCGCCCCTCTGCAACTTTTTCAACGCCGCTCCGCTTGCGGAGGTGGGTCCAGGGATCAGACCGCATCAGGCCTCGATTAAGAGACGTGTCTTTTGGCGCCAAGCTGCGGACTCCCCGAATGCCATGTGAAGTGAACTCAGCAAGTGCGCTCAGCTGAGAACTGGTTGGGACTCTCCCCTTGGTGGGGGGCGCATGGCGAAGCGCCACAGCAGCGCCCTCACCTCCCAACTCAAGCACGGATATCGAGCAGCTTTCGCAGGGACCCAGTTCTGAACTCCAGCTGGAAAGCCGTCGCCTCTGCCGGTCTGAGGGGTCCGAACACGCCAGCGATCTGGGCCATGTCAGCTGTCGGGGCTTGATCTCAAACAGTTAGCTCTGCTCCTGTGGCTTGGGCCTGGGTTCCCCCACCCTCGCCTGTGGCTCCTTTACTCTAGCATGCGAGGTTGTACGAGTAAGTGCATCAGGGCAAAAAGTGCCTCGCGGTCTGCTGCTGCCAGAACGAGGGCTCGGTGATTTTCGCTCACATCCTGTATGCATCGCCGGTTACGGAACCGTTGTAGAGCATGTATGTATGTTTGCACGTATGTATGTACGTATGTATGTATTGACGCAAGCATGCATGAATGTGTGATTCATCAACGCGGGTGGCATGTATATAGGTGCATGTATGTAGGTGGACAGGCATGTAGTTGTATAGATCCACTGCATGCATGTATGTCTGACTGTCCGTCCGTCGGTCCGTCGGTCCGTCGGTCCGTCGGTCTGTCTGTCCGTCCTTTGCGTACGTACTGGATGCATGTACGTATGTGTGTAGGTTTGTTTGCATGCACCTAGGTGAGTATGTATGTTTGTCATGTATATGATGATGCAATGTGATGAGGCGTAATGCAATGCAATGCAGTGTAACACACTGCAATAAATCCAACCCATGCATGCGACGTAATGCAACGTAAATTATACTGTAAATGAAATGCACATGTAAATGTAGGCGTGAAAGTATGTGTACATGTGATTCTGCAAGTACATGCAGATTCAATGCTACGCAAAGCATTAGGCAGGGTTTAGGGCTTAGGTAATGTGGGGTAACCTCTGCACGCACCTTTGTATGCATGTGTGTATGAAGTGATACTGCACCAGCGTTGCGAGATCCTGTCATGCGAGCATGTATGGTGTCTTTAAGTGCAAGCTGCTGCGTTTCTGGCGGTCTACTCTGTGTGGGTTTAGATGTTTGTCAGAAACAGTTTTCTGTTGCAGACACTGGTATGGCTGTTAAACAGGGTCTTCTGTCAGACAGGTGCTTTCCGTCAGACAAGGGCGTGGCAACGTCTCATCTATACTGGGCAACCCTTATATATTGGGCAATCCTTGAACCATTGAAGACACTATTGAGACAAGCATTGTACAGCTGGAACTCGCAGAAAAGTCCTCTGGACTGATGGTCCATTGCACCACGTCCATGCCTCCGAATCTCAGGCACCAAGATTCTGTTGTTTTATAGCACTATGTGGTAAGGCATTTGCGTATCTATGAAAGCACCCATCCGATGCCCTGACCGTCACGACAATGACAGCCACGCGCTTGTTTCTGCCCTCCTTATTCTCATTTTTTGGGGTGTGCAAGGCAAACGGTCTGTATGCCCATCAATCATGGCAGAATCATGATGTGTCTGCTTTGCGAGGCTTATTACCCTGGCTAGTGAAACCTACTCAGCTGCAGACTCTCTGCATTCGTGAGCACGCCCTGGGGCGCGCACATGACGCCGCGAAAGGAAGCATGTAGTTTGCCTGGGACACCGGTCTCTGCAGCAGGCAACACCTGGCAACACCTGGCGCCTGCACAGTCTCCTGCCGAGAAGCAATGTCGGACCAGAGGAGAGCTGCCTCGAGGTCTCCGCGGAGAAGGGCCAGCTGCGAGCACATGATGAAGGTGCCTTGCAGAGTCGGGCTAGGCACAGAATCTCAGCTTGAAGCAGGGCCACTAGGGAGAGTTGAAGTTGCTTTCGACTTCAAGCCTGAAAGTCTCTGTTGAGACAGAGGCGCTCATCTGACCGGGTGCACAATCTGTCGCCGCTGCAGTGGTTGCAGTCCAGCCCAAGCTATTCTCCTCCTGCAGTCAGCAGGTAATGCGCACAAGCACGGAGATTCCGATGTACACCCTAGGCCCCAAACCACGAGCTCATTCTGTGAAGAGTGGTATCGCGACTGTTCATGTGACATTACTCTTGCCTAGGTGCCGGTTTTGATTACACATGCTGTGGGTGTGAGAAGAAGCAACAGTCAATTTCTCTCAGATGCTAATCGACTTCCAGCTTCCCTCCTTCTGCAAGTCTCGGCAGGAGTCGAAGGTGATGGCCTGCACGAGTACGACGAAACAACGAAGTCTGGACCGGAATGCTGCAAACACAGCATTACCTGCCTCGCGGATGCCAGACGTTTCGTCCATCGCCTTCTACAGTCAATCGTCCGTCGTAGTGAAGCAATCGGCAGAGCAATCATAGGACTGAATTCTACATGTGATCATGTGCACAAGATATGTGAATACAGTTAAGCTGCTTCCACAGGTTTGCAGAGCTGTATGTCATAGTTTGCAAGTGTTTGGAACCCCACGAGCAAGGTCTTTTAAGCATGCAAAGCCGTCTACTGCAAGACATAGCACTGGCCTACGACAGTACACAGGAATCGAGAAAATATCCTCTTGTAACAGCAATTAGCAGTAGGGCAATGACAAGCATCATGGACGAAACGAAGCAGATGTACCCCATGTCTAACTTACATCAATGCAAATACCCCACCAAGCACCGAAGGTCTGCCCACTGCTCGGAAACTGTGATGGCTGCTGTAATCAACGATCTTTGGACATACACGTAGCAACCCGCAACAACTCGTAGGTCAATCATGTTAGATGGCAATGCCAAAAGAAGTAAAAACCATTACAAGTACGTAGCAGGTTCAGCAGCCCAAGCTGCAGCAAAGCTTCATGGCCCGATCGATGTTTCCCAAACTTTGGGCAATCGGCCTTGTCTGCAAAATCTTCTGTAAACCTGGCACGAATCACCAGATCTCGTCGCTGCCTACAATGACACGAACTGCCGTTCACTCCGAGAGCACCAAGAGGGTCAAAGCCACGTGCGAGAGATGACCAGCTGCATCTGAACCCAGTGCTCGTAGAAGATATGACAGGCACAGCTGTCCAGCGGGAAGTCCTTGGCTTTCGATGTCCGAGACTCTGGGCAGACAGCAGACATCCCATTGCAGGCGAGACGCGTACTGAGCCCGAACATTTGCAAGAAGCCCTCCGGAAAGAAGCCGTTGAGCCCATCGCCATCCCATCAGAAAGCAAGGAAGTACAGGAAGCAAGTCTCAAGAGGCCAAGGCGGACTATCATGGTTGGTAAGTCACTGCTTAAGCTTAAGTGCTCGGGGCATCTGATTATGTTCACGTTCTCGACCTCGGGCAAGACACTATGTTGGAGCTGACATCTGATCTCCCCGATTTGCGCAGTCGCCCTTGATGCATGCGGCTTTCATGGCTACAGTTGTTCGAGCCATGGGCATGAGCTTGCCTGCTTGAGCATGGGAGCTGAAGCGAAGCACAAGACAATGCGTAGTCAGGGGTCAGGGAACCTCTCCATCGCCCTGCCAAAGCCCCACGCCAGCCCATTCCCTTGGCCGGCTGGTCGCTACCCACTTGACTTCCGCACGAGTACCAGACTACGTCACTCCATCACGACGCTCAAACCCCTTGGCTCGCCTCGGCGCCGAACTGGTTCACGCACCAACTCGGCAACCCCCTCCTTTGCACTTAGAAGGCATGTGTGTCCGATGATACTCGGGAAAGGGGGTCTGTGACTGCGGGCCGATCTGCGTGGTGACTGCTTTGTGACTACGCAACTTCCGCTGGCTAAGAGTCCTGCTCTCCAGTTGCAAAGCGGCGGACCAACGTTTAACGTATGCTAACACCACGCAGCTCTCGCCAAAGTGTAGTGCGCTGTAGGTCCACTTAGGTGTAGCCGGGTGAATACTCTTCTGTCTCCTCCTCATCGAGTCGCAGCTCTTCGTAGTCGTCCATTTGTTGGCGCACGTCCCTGGAAGCGGAGCGCGGCACAGGCGGGGTTACAAACTCGGCATGCAGGCATGAAACACCCATGTCGCAACAGCCACAGTTGGCTAACAAGCCCAGTCCGGACTCGCAGCATGAAGGCCTCGCAGTCATTGCTTGAGACTCTGATGCTGCCCACTGTAGCTTGTGCCAAATGGCCGCAGATGCTCAGAGCTGCGGGGACAAGGAGCAGCTTCGGCAACTGTAAGGAGGAAACCTGATCCCTAAGTGTTGGAGACCATTCATGAACCCGAGGCCAAGCACGAACTGGTCACTACCCTCCCATTATCCCAAAGGCTCAAAGCTCTTTGCTTGAAAATGTCGCAGTTCTTGAGCGTGCACCTTGTCCGAGCGTGGCCTTGGTTCGACTTCGAGGCGCTTCGATCAGACTTGGCGGTTCTACTGTTGTTGCGGCAGAATTTTAGTGAGCATTCCAAGAGCTCGAAACCTCTCTGAGCTCCCAAGCTGGCTAGCCACAAATGTTTTCAGTGACCACACCAGCGTAACACTAGCACTTGATCACACGGAAAACTAACACCTATCTCAAACTCCACACAGAGACGGTCGAATCAGAGAGACCTGACAGCATGAATCGACTGAAAGCCACGGTGTTAAGATGCAGACCATGTCCCCAATCTGGACCGAACATGGAAGACACCTTCCCAAGATCACCTCGGCGAAAGCTTCAAAGCAAGGACGTGGAGATTAGATTCTCACCCCTGCCCTACACCCACGCAGCACAACAGGTCGAAGTCATCTCGTATCTTGACCAGAATTGCGGATTGGATGATCACTGCGGGGCGAAGTCCGAGACTGTAGTTGTAGCCGGTGCACCTAACGCTCTGGAGCTCATTCTGCACGCAACTTTGTTCGCATCGCTCGCTGATCAAAAACAACCAAGGCCTGCTGCGAACCGACCAACCTGATGCAAATCAGAGCATCGCATTGCTCTCAGCTGGCCTGCAGAGCCCACGTCCACTTCAAATCTCTGTATCACAGAGACGGCCCCTCATCTACGACGAGCTGTCGACGGGCACGATCCCGACTTTGCGGAAGACCTCACGAGCTCGCTCAGAGAAGTCTTGGTGCTCCTGCAATCAGAGCTTCTTTCAGAGAAGCTAGCGAACAGAGTGCTGGTCTTGCCTGACAAGCACACCGTGAAAGGCAGGCTGTCTCGTGTTAGCTTACTTCTCCTCCGGAGCGATGCCCTCGTTGGTAGCTTCGTCGCGCAGATGCTCAGACCTCGCCTGCCGCTGGGGGCATTAGGACGCAGTGGAGCTTTCTTGGTCTACGGACCGTGACAACTCACATCCACGCGATGCATCAAGAGTGCATTCTGCAACTTGTCGGTCGGGACGGCGGGGGTGGATGGAGGCAGGCGTTCATGACTCTATCCATGGGATCATGCTGCATCCCAAGCCCAAACCACGTCTCAGTGCCTGGAGCTCCAAAAGCTCTTCTGAAACCTGACCACAGACACCAGGCTGCCAGGCGAAGCACCGAACTGACGACTACGACCCGAGATGTGGGCGGAAAACGGTGTTCGAGCAGACCACAGGCTGAAACACTCAGCTCCGGGCATTCGTCTCCCATACCGCCGCATCCCGCAAGACCGAAACCGTCATCCAGTCCTTCTAGGAACTTTTTCTCAACTGTGGGAAGTCGCGGCGATGCATCTTGACACAGAAGATCCCGCCTCTTCTTCAGGATTTGCTACCTCCCTTACCGGCATCACGACAGTGTGGAAACCTGGCAGACAAGGCATCTCGCTGGTAGTGTTCGCAAGCATCATCACAAACAAATCATGAATCAGGAATATTCATTACCGGCGACAACAACAGCAACAACAACAGCAACAACAACAACCACAACCACAAAACGAAAAAGAAGAAGAAGAACACACATCATCATCGTCATCATCATCATCATCGTCATCATCATCACTACTATTACCACCACCATCATCACTACCAGTAGCATGCCATCGTCATCATCATCACTACTATTACCACCATCATCACTACCAGAAGCATGCCATCGTCATCATCATCACCATATATCACCATCATCCTCAAAATCATAGTCACCATCACTACTTCACTGCTACCGCTTTGCAGCTCAGGGGTGCTTCAGACCTGATGCAACAAAACTCAAAAGGCTCCCTACAAGATTCCAAAGCTGGAGGTTCTTCAAGATGTGCTGGCCAAATGCGCAGGACTTCTGTGCCACATTTGGGCACCAAAGAGTACTTCCACCAAAGTGGAACAACATGAGACCAGGACAAGCACCAGGCTAGTAGATAACAGCAGCGAAGGTATTCAGACGGTCCACTCCACAAACACAAACGAGAGGGGCAGTAAACGCCTCAAGCTGCCGGTGTGGAGGAGGACGACGACGACGACTATGACGTTGACGAGAAAATATGAGAGTGTCAGGATGAACACAACCATCACAACGACCGTGCCAGGGACTTTTCATTGGAGCATGGCCTTGGCCAGTCGTCACACGCCCCGCAAATTCGGCCGCTCCCGTGCGAAGAACATTGTCCTTACATCGGAAGCTATCGACAAGCTCATATCTTGATCCTTCGGTGTTCAGAGAGAGAGGCAGATGAGGCCGTCATGCTTCGGGTTTCCTAGGTGTTGAGAGATTTTGTTGGGGGTCGAGAGGTGGGACCAACCGTCTGTTGTGAGAAGTCAGGAGGTAGGTGCTTGTCAAGAGTCTGCGATCAGGACCGATCCAGTCGACAGCAGCGCATATCGATGAATGAGCGCCTCAAGTTCGAGTTAGTCAAACCCTGGCCCATTGAAGTGCTGGTCAGTGTTGGTGCGGAATGGCTATAACAGACTTGTGTTGTGCACTGGCTGCACAGATCGATTTGGGGGAGTTGCAAACAGCAGAAGCCAAACAGATCGTGCAGAAGCCGCCCTACAAAGTCAAGCGGCCTCCGTCAGGGAACGAGCACTGCGACATGTTAGTTTCGGCTCCATCCCGTCCGCTCTAAACTTCTCAACCCTCAAGCCAGTCAGGGTTTGAAGCCGAGCAGCGAGGACATCTGCGTACTGGGCACCCCAAACATCAGCGAAGATGCCGGCAAAGCGCTGTCCCTGGAGCCCTGGCAGCCGAAGCCTGAGCCAACAAACGAAGAAGCTTCAAGACCGCTGAGGGCCGAGGATCTTCGCGACAGCCCATTTGCTAACAGCGTTAGCTGTGATGCATCTACACTCAGGCCGCGGTGAAGGGCGAGCAACTGGTTATTGCCGATGCGAAGCTTGCAAATCTTACGTCGGACGACGCTCCTTCCTGCGGCCGGCCTGGCCATGCGCAGTGTCCGTTTCATATGTCAAAACTTTCGACTTGGTTACAGCCTTACGGAGGCGAGCTGGTTGTGCCTCGCTCGGAACCCCGGGCAGAGTGTGCTGGCAGGTTGCCTGGTGTGACCTGGAAGCACACGCACACGATCGCCGACTCCTGAGTGAGGTGCAGATACTCAGCCACTTAGTGGACGTACTCCAACAGGCCTACTTATTAGATACACTAGGGCGGCGCCGCACGAACGAAAGTGCGCGAGAGCCAAAGTTACGGCTGTCGGCTTCTGCAGGCTCTCTCAAAAGTGTTGCGACGGGACGACGTCGAAGGCCCCATCATGCTTGCCCCTACAATCTCATGCATCCCAGCTTGGGAAGTCAGATGTCCGATGCCCATGCCAGTACTGTCACGATCAAGCAGAAGCGCTTACCACACAGGTAGTGCCCTCAAAGGTTTTCGCACCCTCAAACAACCAGATGTTTCCCCAGCAGGTCTGCCCACAGTCTCTGCTTCAAAGGCGACTTTAGAACGAGGTGTTTCGTACAGAAACGTGCAGACGGTCTCCAACCAACATCAAATGCTGCTACCTGTGACTTCTGAGGGTACCCACGCAACAGAAATCAGACGCCTAAAGTTCTTTCGGGCACCAACTGGCCGCACAAGTAACCTCCGACCAAGCGAAGACCCGTCAGCGCAACGTTGAAAATGCAGATTTGGGGGCCAGCAAAGCCCAGCAAGCAGCGCGCCAAAGCCACCATCCTTGCGAACCAAGAGACTCTCCCACTCTGTGAAATGTCTCGCATTCAAAATCCGATCACACCGTTGGACCATCCACCATCAGGAGCCTCCCTATCACAGTCGCTCTTGGCCTGCCCTTCTTGCCAAGCTGCACAGGATCCAGCTCGATAGCGGTCACTTGCACTCCTGTCGAAGAACTGTTGCTTTATTTCAGTAGCTGCACAGCGCTCAAGCGAGCAACCCTGAGTTCATGTAGCAGAAATCTCATGGAGGATGTGGGTGCAGCATGACATTGAAAACCGAGCTGGAGATGGATACGGCTGCATGGCAAAGCCTATACAATCAAAAATTATGCCAGCATAGACACTGAAAGAGCACCTAGGAGTCCAAGCCCGACATGCCAAAGAACGATTCCAAGGGTCCCCTGGACACTGCGTGAGCACACCAAAATGTGCCACATGGTGGCGGCGGTTGGCACCCCACCAAAGGCACGGCACTGCGGCAGCACGACGTTCGACGGCGAAACACGAACCGCATGCCAAGTATGCGCGACACGGTGGCAGGAGCACGATTTCGAAAGCGGAAACGGTAGCGCTGACGTCAGAACCCCAATTTGCCTCAACTCTGCTTGGCAAGCAAATGGGATCACGATGAATGAAGGTTGCCATGAGAAACACCCGAACCACTGAGGCAGCTACCCGGTAGAGCCATTGCGAGGTGCAGAGCTGACCCACCGCCTGAGACGTGATTGGCGTCGACAGAACCAGGGTTCCTGAGGGGTGGCTCTTGGCTCTTGGGCAGCTACTCGAAGCCCTTCCATAGAGAAGCCCAGGCTCCAGGGCAGTTTCATCCGACTTGCGACAGACTTGCAGCCGGAATGCCGTAGGCCCCAATGTCCAAGACATGCTTCGGTGAAGGCCCAGCCCCTGCTGCACCCAAGAGCCTCGGCTTCCATCGAGATTTTGCTTGAAGAGCTTTACTGAGCTTCACGCTTGGAGGGATCGTTCGAGGATCTTCGGCCGACCGACATTTGCATACGATGGGCACGGAGCACCACGTGTGCAGACATTGGCATCCGTCTGCATACATGGACAAGTGGATGCTGGCATGTGTCTACATTCCAAATGGATATATGTCCACCGACCTCGTGTATTTGCGTTATACTGTACGTTTTGGTTTCTCTATCTGGTGTATTCGTGTATGCGTATCTGCACAAACCCCGCCAAATTTACATGGCAACCGTGGCAAAAAGAGTGCATCTGCAGATTGGTAGCAAAATCTGGGCCTTGCTCCCAGCAGCAAATTTCGCCCAGCCACCTGGCAGAACTCCGCTACAATCGGATCAGGCAGAAAAGCACAACACAATCCACCCTCGCCTATAGCTCTACCATACTTACCACGTCCAATTCAATCCGCCACAGCCACACCCTGGACATGCCGTTGCCTGCGTTGCCCAGCTCAACGCCAAAACCTTGGCAGAGCCCAACAGCTGCGGCACTGACCCGGCAAATTTTCGTAGGCTTTAGCCCATTGCAATGCCGAGACTGCCATAGAGTGGGCAATAATCAATGGATGCAGTG